AATAACTAAAAGTATTCATCATACAAATTACAGAAATAAACCCACAAAAGAGAGGGATTGTGTAAAATGCTGAGCAAAAGACAAAACCCTTGTTTATTTGGCACACAAAAATTCTCCTTCATAGTCATCCAAAAAGTAGATGCCTAATTTGAAAATGTTTGGCATTGAGCCACATAATGATTTATGAGTAACAAACAAAACATAATCCCTCTCATTTCCACTAATGGAATATGATCCAACTAGGTGGGATTTTCCATTTACCTTGGCAGAGGTGTCATGAATTCAGTCTGTCTATTCTGGTAATCTCAGTTTACAAATTGGCAACATTGCACCTTTGATTAGCTCTGTGAAATGATTTTGTGAAATAGAAGGATCTCCCATTCTCTCTATATTTGGCAGCCTCGGTCCTATAAAAATGTCAGTTTTGTCACTTCTTTTATAGTTTCATACAGCTGACTTCTCTCTTCTCCCCACTGTGAGATATTAAAAATTTAGCAGGAGCTTTCTCCAAGTGCATCTGGATGGACGAAAAAAGCCAGAATAAGCTTGTCAACCAAAAATACCTTGGGAGAGGAGATCTTTACAATGACTGGCTCTTCAAAATATTCCAAGTGGCTCTGCCAATGGAAGATTATTAGCTGTTGACTGAGAAGTGTATACGAGACTATGTATTAAACTGAAAGCTGTAAAGTAGAAGCTGGAAGATTACTGGAGTGGTAACTATTCTGAAAAACAGCATTATATAATGAAAACATTTGATGCTCAACTTTGCTCTAGTGTCTCCATTTTTATTTTAACATAAAATACAGTGATTTTATTAAATTCCTATGTGCTAACATGAAATTACTTTGTGGAATGAGCCTCTTTTTCTTTTCCTTTTCTTGTTTTCCTTCTTCTCTGTCCAGACTGAGTTCCAAGGGAATCATAGACTTCCCTGACGCACAGAGGCACTGCGTTACAGAAGACGCAGACAACAGCATCTGACTTCTCTGTGGGATCGCAGCACTATTCTTCAGGTACAGATTTGAGAAGTCAAGTCAGGAGTGACATTTAACGGCCTATCATCTTTTTCTCTAAATGGAAATGTAATGATCACTGTAAATAGTTATAATCGCATGTACATGGTACAGGCGAGGCAGGTATATTGACTGCTAACACACCAGTAAGGTAAAGGTACCTGCGAACAACATTTTGGCTATATATATACATATTGTACAGGCAAATAGGTAAGATTTCTAGAAAAAAGTATGTCTAAAGACTACTTCTTATTATGAAGTGAGTTACCATTTGGGAGAAGCTTATTTCTACAACACAATTTTGCTATGGATTGAAATTATTTCTATTTTGGGGCTTATTTATGTTGTATACATATGAATTCTATCTCAATATTTAGATCTTGGGAGGCCTTTAAAAATCAAGAAAAATATTTTAGGAAAAAGAAAACTCTGTTAAGGAAAACATTGCAGTTGTGGAGTTAGATATAATCTTTGAAATACATGTGTAAGTTACTTTATTAAATTTCATGCTATTTTAAAATATGGAAAAGATAAGGCTTGCAGTATGGAAATAGAAAAAGTGCATACCTATAATTAGCATATTTTATGTGTAGAGACCCTATAAAAAGGGTGCTATTTTAGGGTTTATAAGGTAAAGATATATGGGTGGGTGGGCTGGGGTGGGGAAAAAGGCAGAAAACTGTACTTGAACAATTAAAATAAAAAATATGGGTTACACAGAAAAGTTTGTATGGCATTATTGCAAAATCAAAGTAATGGAATAGATCATATTTAAAAACAAGGAAAATGGTTCATTTTATAACTCTATGTTTATAGCTTTAAAAGCCCAACTTCAAGAAACAAAACTGCAAATATCTTACTGGAATGAGAGCCCTGGCAGCTAGGAGAAATCTGCTTTCAGACCCTTAAAGGATTCTAAAAGTTAGCAAAATTAATGACTGACATCATGCAATAGTTCTCTGATAAATTTAACATAGTAAAATTCTGCTCAGAAAACATAAATAAAGCCTTCAAATTCTTACTTTAACCTACTGCATGTGCACAGAAGAGTAAAAATAAAGTGAGCACTAGGCATGACCAGGAACCCTCCCATACGAGCCCATCATTCCTCTCTTGTGACCTTTAACACTGAACACGGTTGTTAAGACTTGCTCAATTTTTGCTCCTTTTGTGAGTTCTAGTAGAGACTTGTCTAGTTTATGTTACCAACATTCTCTTTCTAGAACCTAGCTCAAGAAGTATTTGTGTTACAAAAGGGTTAATTCACTGTGTCTTGCACAGCCAAGACCTTTCCCCTCTGATGATAGCTGTTTCATAGTTTAGGCTAAAAATTCTTTCATATCCACTGTGACATATAAACTTCAGTAGAAGAAAGAGGAAGTAGTTTTAATGTCCATTTTGTGCTTTGGGGAGATTGTTTCTTGCCTAAGAACACACAACTCCAACTGGTAAATGCAGGAGATTGTTTCTTGCCTAAGAACACACAACTCCAACTGGTAAATGCAGGATTTTTGTTCAGGTTTTTCTCATAGCAGTTCAATTTTCTATGTAACAAATAGCAGCTCTCTAAGGACTTAGGTTGGGTATTTAGATTCTACATGCATACATCTCCTTTTTATGTTAACTTGCAATACTCCAAGTAGATTTGTAAGATAAAAAAACTTTTGCACAATACCAAATTTTCAGTTCTTTGAACACATCGTTATCTCTCATTCGTCATTGTTATGGTTGTTATTTCCCAGTCCCCCATAAGGCCATAGTTAGATTGTTTAGTAACCGCCTCCAACAAAGTTTGCTGTAAAGAATCCCAGAAGATTAGAAGATAAAACTACACACAGCAGAGACACCTATCCCAGCTGAGGCTGCCTAAACCAACCTAACCAGCTGAATATACCTCCATGAGGGGCCTAGGCAGGGCTAATAATAAACTGTCCAGTTGAACCCAGTCAAATACTAGACTCGCAAAATTGTAAGCAAATTAAGTGTCAATTATTGTTTGAAGCCATTACGATTCTTAGGTTGTTTGTTACACAGCAAAATTTAACTGATACAAAATTGAAAAGGGAGCTTTTAAAAAAAACAAAGATTAAAATTGTGTGTGTGTATATATGTGTATATATGTATATGTATATACACACATATACATTCATTTGCATATAATGCTTTCCCAAGAGTGGCAAGTCAGTTAAAAAGAAAGAAGAAATATCCAAAATACCTTCAAAATTCCAACACCAAATTCAAAATATTGTTTCTACAAATTATTCTTAGCCTAAGTGAAACCTCTGCTCCATGACCAGATGATGACAGGCAATCCAAGGCCATCTCTAGAAGAGCAAGCACAGAAGAATCTGGACTTTTCTCTTGAGTAAGAGCACAGTACTGATTCCCCTCATTTTTGTAGATTGAGAGTAAACCCTGGTTTCTTATTTCCTTGATGTATCATATAAAACATGGTTGCATTTCCTAGAATTCACTGTATCTAAAAGAACATTAACATGTACTTCCCCCCTCCCTTTTTTCCTTGCTATACAAACCAATAACAACAAAAACCACAGATGTCTGATGATGTAGATTTTGGATCCTGCTTTCCAGCACACCAACTGTTGTACACTTATGGAGGGAATTTTTTATGTGAAGTTCGAGGGAAGGAAAATGTTGTACTCCATAATTTAGGTACTAGTCATAATATTTAATAAAAAGTTTTCTGCCAATAAATAAAACCACATAAAGCTTCCTCTGTATATTGCCACTACCTAGAACTATCCTACTAAAAACTACAATGTAGAAAATAACAGAAGGAAAACAGATGATGTGAGAAATTGGGTAAAGTCACTTGGATTTCTAAGATAATATTCATTTCTACACACCCTGTTGACATTTCCTTGGTTCCAATGGTATCCCTGGAGGAGCTACATACAGTGAAAGAGGAAATGAGATGTTAGCCCTGTGAGTGCCAATGATAACTGCACTGTCCATAAAGATGTTTGCATGTGCCTTTCAGGAATGTTTTCTTAGAGATTAGCAACTGCTAACCACCAGTAGGCTAGATTCTCCTTGGACAAATCACAATCCTTACTAGAGAGCGCTGGGAGCACTAATGGAGAGAATCTCTTGCCATTCAAGTAATTCCAAGGCAGAACACCAAAAGTAACTAATTTAAAAATATTGTTTAGGTCTTATTAACTAGAATCCATAGATCAATAGTAATTTTAAACTGTCTCTAAATGAGTGGTACTAAAATTTTGAATTTCTGAGACCAATACAGGTCAAAATTATTTGGAGTAATAAGGTAGAAATATTCACCAATGATTTGTGTGCCCTTGCTCCCATCATTTCCCAGTCTCCTTGAACTAAAGTGGCACAACTGACTATTTCTGGGCATTAGAGTGTAAATGGAAATGACATGGGTCATTTCCAGGTGAAAACATTTAAAGGTCAGTGCATGAACTTCCAACTTTTTCTCTATACATTGAGATGCCAGAGAGTCAGACTGGGTCAAGTGAGTGATTATTTGGAAAACTGCACTTGTAAATATGTAGAGTAAGCAAATTATGAAGTCTTTTTGTTTTGTTATTGAGTTTGGGGGGTTGATGTGTTACTGCAACATAGCAAACCCTATCCTGAGCAATAGAGGAAACTCATATGAGGTTGCCTACTTTCTATTATACCAAATAGGGAGATTTTGAAATACGAGCAAACAAAATGCCCCACCATATGTCATCATTATATAAAATAAATAGTAGTTTAAAACCAGAATCGTCATAATCACAGAATAAAGAATGATTCCTTAAACTGAATCAATGTAGTTTTCTTCAAAATATTGCTATCTTATCCTTAACTTTGTTGGGCAAAAATTTCAACAGGAACTAGAACATCTATCTTCCAAATAGTGTACCATAGATCTAGATATTGCAAAAATCACTGGAGAAGATTTTTGACCCAAAGCAATTTAAAATATCACATCACAACCATGTCTGACTTTACCTGTCTTTCAGTGAGATCCAGATTCACAGCTATCTCATATCTCCTCAGTCTGGTCAGATAATTATGATGGGCAAATTCTGCTTCAAGTTCTCTGATTTGCTCTTTGGTAAAAGCTGTCCTTTCCTTCCTGGGTTTGCTATTGACTTCTGACTTGTAATTGCCTTCCTGGGAATCTGAGGGGAGGAAAAAAAAGCAAGAAAGAATTAGATTTAACTCATTCATCCAAACACATTCAATTATGTCATTCATACCAGAAATATCTATTGAGTAACTACTTTTTCAGGTATGTTGTTAGACAGGGGGAAAATAGAGACCAAAATCAATAAGACTGATCTCACCCAATTGGGTTTAGTTTTCATGGTTTTTATTTTTTCAATATCCTCAAGTGACTCACAAACTAATTGGGAAATGTCTAGTTTTTGCTTTTGAAATGGTAACAAAAATTAATATGTTATTATAATGATAAAGAAACCAATGCTTACCTAGAAAACAATTTTAGATATAAAATTTTGCCTAATAATTTGTTTAGCATATATAGTTGAGCTCTCAGTCTGGTTAAACAGAGTTATTCTAAAAAATAGTGGTGACTCAGTATATGAACATTAGAGCAATTCAAACAGTTAGCAAGTGAATCATAAAAGTCAGTTCAAGATCAGACTAAGCATATGTAAGAGTAAGTGTTTTTATTGGCCTTTTAATTTCAAGTTAAGTTCAGTCTTCATCAGGACAATAGCAATGCTCCTTTTTATTTCATGTAATACTTAGTGTTCAACATAGGATATATAATTAAATTGTGTTCATATATTTAAATATGAGCAAAGAGTTAAAAATTTTTATCATGCATGAGACAAACATAAGATGCACAACACCAAAAAAAGTTATCTAAACACATTATAAAATGCCATGTACAAGTAATAATTTAGAGCATATCATTCCATCTGTATTCCTATAGGTTCAAGACATCATTACATACAGTGTTTAATTTATCCACATAATATCCCTGAGATGTGGGTTAGAAGACCTTCTCAATATACAGAAGAACAAAATGTGTGTCTATAATGGAAAACATTTCCATGTAAAACAAGTAATAGCTAATCATGTCAGCTCTAGTAATTCATGTCAAATTTATCCTCAGTGAAATATCAACACAATCAAAATGAAGGCATGTTTGGGCTTTCTTGAAAGTTCCTTCAGTTGTCTGGCTATGTGGGAGCATGTACATACAAATAGTGATATTTTTATTGGGTAGGAGTACTCTTCTATGAGTCCAAATGAGAGAAGTGATATAGGAAAAACGAAGGTTAATCAAAGGTTCCAGAGTATGACATTTTAATTTCTTTTTAATTGACAAATACAATAAATGGTGTGGCTTTCTGAAGAATCTTGTCAGGCAACATTTGTTTTTTCATCCAATGATGCTCAAATACACTGATGCAAAAAAAAAGATATTTTTAGTGGTTTTTTTCCTTGCTGTCTGGCCTGGGGGAAGTCTAACTGAAGTCAAGAGAACCCCACATAATGAATATGCACTAGACAAGGCCCTCTAGTGTAAATAATTTTGTTTTGACTCTTACCAGAAGCTAACTGGCCAGATGTGAAGTTTTCTAGGTCTAGAAGCAGCAGCAGCAATAGGTTTGCATCAAAACTTTGGCACACTGGCCGTTACTTTTCCTTTGAGGGATCACGGAGTACGTTTCACTGACTGGTGTGTTGGCACCATCAGAAATTTTTCAGAATTCATGGACCACAATGTGGGGCTTGTCACTGGCTCCCCACCTTAGCTGGGCAGGCAAGGCTTTATGCACAGGAAAGAGTGGTTTGTGACATGTCACACACAGGCCCCACTGCATCTTGTGGTAAGTCACTGGGACCGGGTGAGTTACGTAATAAATGATGTGTGAGCGCTCACATAGGCCGTGTTTACTTACCAACGTACTCAATGTCGACTTACAGGGCCTCAAGTGCAACCTGCAGTCTAACACCCATTTCTTTTAGCTACAGATCTGCCAGCCTCCATGTCTTTCAGATGGTTTAGCTATTCTGGAATTGTGCAAGCAAAACTTCCCAATGATTACATTTTTTTTAAAAAATTAACTTTTCCACACTGGCTATTCTGGCAGATTGCAAACTCAGTCAGAGCCTAGAATACTCAGATAAGTCCCTCTCACAAGGAGCCATGTTCTCACGTGAACAGTTCTCACAAAAAAAAAAAGTATTTTTGCCAATTTGGAGCCATGCTCAGTCTGAAATCTGTGGCTGATTATTCTTTAGGTGGGGACAATGCTCTTTTCCCTTCAGTAATGTAACTCTGGAAACGAACAGTAAAGCCAGAGCATTTTTTCTCATGAGCAATTCAATGTGAATGATTCATAGTTAACATATTCCCTTACATAAGCATGAATGAACAAATTCACATTGAGAAAACCTTATTAACTTGTATTTATTTTTGAAACCGATTCCCTTTAACTTTTACGGCACTCGAAAGTACTTCGAAAATACCACAAACACATAAAACACACACCCGTACACAAACAAACACAAATACACAAAACTTGGACCGATGCTTGGAAGAATGGTCTCCTGTAATGGATTTCTGCACATTCCCATTGTAACTCGTAATATGCAACGGGAGGTTTATACATCCAGTGACTGAATTTAAACAAAAGTCTGGCTATAATTCAACTTTTAAATCCAAAAGCAACTTACTGACTGCTTGAATTCCAAACCAGTGTAACTTGTGAGGTTAAATCCACTGGCTAGCATGCTGTAAATTGTGCACGCTGGCATTTACATAAGGACAAATGGAACACTTACCCAGTAATGAACATGACAAACAGTGGGGTGTGCTTCTCAACTTCATTACTTGAGAAAAAGTCCCTGTAGCTGAGGTTGCATCAGTATTAATTAATTCCATGGATACTTTTATCTTTGCAATTGTGATTCTGTTGTGGTTTTCAACCATGACACTTCTGCTTTTTCTTTCCCATGAAAAGCATCTCCCTTGGGATTGTACTTCTGGACTTATATTTCCTATAATCTTAAATTTTAAAAATTCTCTGACTTTTTTCTACATTTTTCAAAACCCATCATTTGCTGACCCCGAGGCCTCTATTGCTATCACCAACTAGCTTTTCTAGGGTGGAAAATGGGTGGAATCCTTGGAAGAGGATTTGGGCAAATTGCACATCAGCTTGCATCTGTTTCCCAGCTGTTTCAACTGAGGCAAAACTCCCTCCGTTTTCTTCAACCTCCCATATCCTCTGCTGAATGGTAGGTGTTGAGGGTGGGGGGGGGGGAGTCTGGAAACTGCCTTCCTTTCTTCCTTACGACCACAAACAAAATGTTGCCGTCTGAACAGTATATCCCACTGTAAAGTATTACAATCGTTGTTCCTCACCTCAGATACTTTAATGCACATGTGGGTGCAATGGCTGCTCAGAGGAAATGTTGACTTATGTATTCAGGTATAGTTGGCAGTCACAGTTCCCTAACCTTTTGCTCCCTGAGACTATGCTAATGGAAGGAGTCTGCAATACTTCCGTAGAGGATAAAAATTGCCCTCCAAGGATCAGTTCTGTCTAGCATTTAGAACTTCTCCACATGTGACTTTTCATTTCCCCTAGTGCAAAAGGATGCCAAAAGATAATAATGTTTTATTGAAGACAACTAATGTGAGGGCTTGGACTATTCACTAGTGGCACAGAATGCTTTTTCACAAAAGAGGAATATTAAAGCATAATTGAGTATATTTTTGGCCACCCTGGGTAAACTTATTAACTTGTTTAAATGAAGAACATAATTTACTTCTGTCTGTAACATATCAAATGTAAAAAAAAATGTCTCTATCGCTTAGACTAAAAATGAATACTTTTTCGTATTCCCAAAGAAAGAATGAAAACTAAGCCACAGTCTATTTTAGTCTTTTACAACTTCTTGTATCAACATTTTGTAAGCTATCCAAATCGACAGATATTCTGTTATTAACAAAGCTGAACAAATAGTAGATGTAGAAGCTAATGGTGGTGACTGCCACAGGAAGGCAGGAGAGGGTTAAGGGGCATAAATGGCGACAGAGGGAGATGTGACTTGGGGTGGTGAATACACAGTACATTAGACAGATGATGTACTGTGGAATTGTATACTTGAAACATATTTATTAACCAATGCCACCCCAATAAATTCAATAAAAAATAAGCTAATGATTATTTTTACATAGATATAGGGATTGTGGGTAGAGGAAGGAAAATTTATAGAATAATTTACTGATGCTAGTAATTTTCACATTTAAAAGGGGAAATTGCCTTCCTTTTGGGAAATGTATCCAACTTGCTACCCCAGCCTCTTAATGAGTGGGCAGTTCAGCCCCTCCAGATTATTTTTCAGAGTAAACAATTTTCCCAAGGAGTTCTTAAATCCTCTCAGACCGATCCACTCTCCAGATTTCAGAACCACTGCCACAGTCAGCTACTATTACTAATGAATGAGTCTACTATACACTGAGGTGTGTAAGAAAAAAGAAATAGGATTGGAAACCACTATGCTAATTCTAGAAGAGAAATGAGCACTGAAAACATCCACTAGTTCCTGTACTTTTGATATGAAAAAAGTGTAGTTATGAGAATAGTTTCTCTACTAAAGCAACCCAAATTTCAAAGACATAAAAAGAAATGTCCACCTTTTGTATTCAGCATGCAAAAATCATTCAAGGACTGGGCCAGTGACTGTCAGTTGGTGGATACAGTCTTTCACCATCCAGCTTCCCTATTCACTGCCTTCTTGATGACCATGGGTTATCTACCATGTCCCCAGGGGTGAAATAATCCAGATCAACCCCAAATTAGTACAGTAAGCTATATATTCATTTTTGTTATATTTGTGTAGCCAATTGCATGTTTTGAGCAAATAATCTATAGAGGATTTTCTATTTCTGTTAAAACCATTGAGCCCTAGCTTGTTTAGCTCAGTGGATTGAGCACGGGCCTGTGAACCAAATGATCGCAGTTTGATTCTCAGTCAGGGCACATGCTTGGGCTGCAGGCCAGGTCCCAGCAGGAGACCCACAAGAGGCAACCACACATTGATATTTCTCTCCTCTCTCTTTCTTCCCTTCTAAAGATAAATAAATTAAAAAAATGAAGTTACTACTTGGTGGTCTGTATTAAAATGTGAATTG